CTAGTTCTAGAAAAACGCTATTAATGATGAACTAGAATCGATAATGTCTAATCATACTTGGGATTAGTTGACTTGCCTAAAGGATTTAAACCAATATGTAGCAAATGAATCTTCCGGAATAAAATGAGACCAGATGGTTTGATCCAGTGGTACAAGGTAAACTAGTTGTCAAAGGGTTCACTCAAAAATTTGTTTTAGACTACTTTGATTCTTACTCTCCCGTTATGAACATCTCAATGATCCGTGCATTATTTGCACTATCCTCTATTCATAAGTTGCAAGTACATAAAATGGATGTTAAGACTTCATTTTTGAATGGATATCTAGATGAGGAGATCTATATGGGAACAATTGTACAAGAAATTTTAAAAAACTATACTTAGTTTTGGTTTTGTTGTGAATGGTTCGGATACTTGTGAGTATTCGAGGATGTTTGGTACTGATTACATCATCATAAGTTTTGTATATTGATGACATGTTGATTTTCAGGTCTAACATTGAGTCCATTAACAAAACAAACAATTTCTTGTCCACTAAATTTGAGATGACGGATCTGAGAGAAGTTGATATAATCTGAGGAGTCAAAAATTACTGGAAAGGGATTTTCTTTATGTCAAGCACACTATCTTGAGAAAGTGTTAAAGAAATTTGACAGTTTTGATGTCATACATGTTCGAACCCTTGTGACACTAGCATATATCTCTTTAAAAATAAAGGAAGTAGCGTTTCCCAAACAAAATATGCTAAATTAATCGGAAGCTTAATGTTCTTAATGAACTATACTCGGCCCGATATTGCTTATGCTATGATCAGACTAAGTAGATATACTCATAATCCAAGTGGTGAACATTGGATTACTCTTAAACGCTTACTGAAGTATCTTAAGGGTACTTTGGATTGGAAACTTGAGTTTGTTGGCTTTCTTGCGATACTGGAAGGATATTGTGATGCCAACTGGGTTTCTGATAATGATGAGGTAAGCTTTACAGTGGGTATATTTTACTTTAGATGGAGCAGAAATCTCGTGGAAATCATCAAAGCAGACTTGTATTGCTCGTTCTACCATGAAGTCGGAGTTTATAGCTCTTGACCTAGCTGGGCAAGAAGCCGAGTGGCTCAGAAGCTTGTTAGCAGATATTCTGTTGTAGGGAAGACCGATTCCTCCAATTTCTTTGTTGTGTGATTCACAAGATACGATATGTGTACAATGGTAAGAAAATACACATTCGTATAAGGCATGAATCAGTTAGACAGTTAATAAAGAACGGAGTGTTCTCTTTAGAGTATGTGAAGTCGGAAAGGAACCTAGCAGATCCTTGGTCCTAGATTCGTTGAGGGGGATGGGTCTAAAGCCTATTGGTTGATGAATTCATGGCGGATACCCAACTTAGTTATCTAAGTTCCATGTGGTCAAACGAAACCATGGAAAGACTCATAGTGCACATTCCTATTGCCTATCCCTATGATGAATAATGCGCATGCCTAAGATGAGCTTAATTGCTCTTAATAAATTCATAACCCAGATTTGGGTGGCCTTAGTGAGAAAGACTTGATGAATTTAGCGATTTTGGCTGAATATTATTCTTAATAAGTTCATAACCCAGAGTTGAGTGGGTAGTTCTAATCGCGAAGGACTAGATGAACTTACCGCTTGAGAGGATGAGTTTTATTAAACTCTTAATGAATTCAAACCCAAGAGTTTGGGAGTTACTAGTGAGAATGACATATTGAATTCGCCTAATTATGAGGTTTAATATTTATTCTTAATGACTTCTTATCCAGAGTTTGGGTGGTTCATTTTTAATGAACTTAAAGAAAGTCACCATACCCTTTGTGAGGATGAGCTATTATAAAAACTCTTAATTATTTCATAGCTCAGTTTGAGTGGTTTATGTTGAGATAAACTTGATGAAATAACCTACGTAAGTGAGAAGGATTAGCCACCTTCTATGAAAAATATTGGGCCATTTTTCTAGCACACTTACTAGAATCCTGAGGAAAGAGGGATAAACATATATACGCTTTTGTATATACTCTTTGTAGACACATTGAAGACTTTGGTGGATGAAGGGATTAGTTGTGTGTTATGAGTTTAACGCCATCTTAGAAAGTTCAAGACTAGTTTCACTTATCTAAGAGAAGGATTGATCATCATCACTATGTACTAGTTCTTGATACGTTCACTAGTGCTTAAGCAACTAATCTCACTATTGCTCTTCTCTTGTTTTAACTCCATTGCTCTCATCTTTACGAAAGAATTCTTTCGCATTAGTGGGGGAATGTTGATAATGCTCATGATTCAATCCACTACTATTGAGTGTTAAATCCACTAGTATTAAGTGTTAAATCCACTATTATTAAGTATTAAATCCACTAGTATTAAGTGTTAAATCCACTAGTATTAAGTGTTAAATCCACTATTATTGAATATTAATTCTATGTTTAAATAGAATTAAATTGTGATTTTGAAATGACTATTTTGCCCTCACTATTTAGCCTATAAATAGTGAGCAATTTCATTCATTATATACATCCCAAGCAAACATTTGCTTTGAAACACTCATCTCTTTTGAGTGTTGTTTGAGTTGAGAGAAGAGCAATACCACCAAGTTCACTCCAGTTTTCGGGTGTACGAATTCTTGGAGAGCCGTGTTAACCTCAGGGGGTTGTTCGTCCATTGTAGCGATTACACACATCGGGGCAAATTTGCTTTTAAGGCAATGGATTACCACGACGCGGTTATCATTTTGATTGATTATTTTATTTAATATTTTCCAGTCAGTACTAACGCCTCGTTTTGCAGCAGTCTATTTTACCAACATGGATTTCTGCCTTTCAACTTTTTTGGTGCTTACGACACAACTCTAAGCTTTAGTTAGGAAAAATACAAAATAAAAAGGCTTAATACAAAAATAAGTGTCCAAACTATACCTAAGTTAACTTTAGTTGTCTAAAGAAATTTTCATTTAAAATAGGTGTCTAACATTTTCTCCGTTACACTTTTATAAGATGAAGAATTGATTTTTAGAATCTAGTTTGTAGAAGATTAGTGACTAAATCAAAATGAAAGAATTACGCATCTCAAAAGTGAAAACAATGGAAGGGTTGAATACAAATGGGTAATCTAGTAAAATCTTAGTATAATAAAAATATTTAATCTAAATAAAACAAGATAATAGCTTTATTTAAAAAAAAAAGTCTAGATATTCTATACTAAAAAATATTTTAAAAAACATATTATATTAATTTAGAAATATATTTAAATATTTTGCATGGATTGTCCTTCATCTGAAAAAAAAAGAGAGTTGTTGCACGTAGAAAATTAATTTTTTTAATGTTTCCAAAAATAAATAAATAATCCAAATTTACAAATATTTTTTTAGGAAAGTTTATTTATTAAAATTCTTTTAAATTTTTTAGATAAATTTAATCAACCTTTAACACTCTTTTCAAAATGTCTTGAATAAAATCAACTTTTTTTTTTTTATTAAAGTATAAGATAATATATGTTGATCATATTCTTGGAACAGCATTGACATGTCGTTTTGTTTGTTTTCTCCCTCTATCAGTCTGATTTTGGCCTCGGGTCGCCTATATTACCAGGTTTATCCTCTGAAACCGCAAAATTCCGAAAACAATAAAATTCGCAGGGAACATTTAAACTCGAGGAGAATATATGACACGATTACGTTTAAAGAACAAGTGACAAACCTCTTCTCTCTGCCTTTTCATCATGTATGGGAACCAGCCTTTTCATCACAAGCAACCTCACCGACAAAGAGCAACTTCCACAAGCGTCGAAAAGGGTTCGCATAATATTCTCCCACTCTCATCCTCTCCCAATACCAAAAATATTCATCTTCTTTTTACATTATATAATTATGATAGTTGTAGGGCCAAAAAAGATAAGAACCCAACTAAAAAAAAGTAAGATGGCAAACTGTTTTTATAATCAAATAAAATGATAAGCAGAAGCAGTTGCCGTTGTTGTTGGGGCTGGTTGGTGATAATGATGATGATGGCAAAGACTAGCATCCGAAAAAATAGAGGATGTTTTTCTTTTATACGCAAGGAAAGGCTGGGAAATGAGGGCATTTAATAAGTAACAAGGCAACAAAAACATAACAAATGGATGATAAGAGTACAGTTGAGTGAAGGGTGTGTTTTGTTTTGTCAACTTGTGGTTTGATTCATATAGTTTTTGCTCGGTCGACACAAGTTTTCTTTCATAGATAGTCTTGGCACTTGCCTAACCAGTTAGGCCCTCTTGTCCCGGAAGAGATCATATTTAGCATTTGTTCATTTGGTCAAATTATTATTTTAGTTTTTCTATTATTGGACGTTTCATGTATTTTAATTTGATCTTTCATTTTATTTTATATGCCATTAGTTATTTTAAAAAATTAACCCCGGCTAATTTTCTTACATAATGTAGTTGAAAAAAGAATTTCTCATAAAATTATTTTCTTATCTAGGATCATTGCTATAGTATACCATAGAAGATGTTCGGATTATCTGATGGTTTCGGGAAGATATCAGGATTACACGGCGTTTTTGGAAAGACATTGTACGAACTACAATGTTATTAGTTTACGGACATATATGCATCTTCGTGAAGACGTCAAGTGGTTCACGCAACTTCATGCATCACGATAGCGAAAATAAATTGGGGTGATCATGATATAAGAAATTTATTTCCCAAAAACAATATCTCAACGATCTTACTAATTAACCCCTTGTAAGTATATTAAAATGTTTATAACAAAAAATGTCCAACATCATGAACAGGAATGAGATTTTCTAAGAAAAAAAATTGCTTTAGTACTTTAACAGAAATAGTTATTAGTGTCAACTATTTAGACTAATTAGTGACATAAAATTATAGGATAATGAATAATTTTGAAACCTGAGAGGGACCAAAATCATCAAGAAGAGGCAAACCAGGTTCCCGGACATGAAATTGTTGATTAGTGCCAAAAGTAGAGAAAGAAACTTAATTTAGCCTAAGTGGAACATCTTTATCATAACAGAATTGCAAAATTACACTATTATAAATTACAAAGAACAACAAACCCGTTGCTTGCAATGATCGCTGTTCATTTGTCAATAAACGTGTATCATGAGGATACTCAATCCCCTTATTAAGAAAGAAAAAAATACAACAGAGAACTTGTTTATGGTTTCATTGGTCAACTGAAACTATTCAGCTGACAGAAATTGTAACAATAAATTCATCAGTATAGCCCCCGCCATGAATACCACTTTAGTTTCATCTGGAACCACAATGGAGGTTTACCCAAAATCCCTTTTGATAACCTTGAATCAAAAACATTAAACTGCACATTGCTGAGGGAATCCAACAGATCTTGGGCAGGCACAGCTGGTAGAAGTGCTTTTCGTGCCTCAGATGGCACAGCATTGGCTAATTCACGAGCTTTCACCAAATGGGCATTGGCTACTGATGCCATTTCAAAGACCGCATCACATAAGTGCTCCTGAGAATCCAGGTTGATCTCCAATCGACCTCCTTCCTTAACTAACAGCCCATGCTTAACAGCCACATTAGATGGTATGTAAGAAGAGTGACGGTTGCGGCTAGCATGGTATGGCAGTGACTTAAGTAGCAAAAGGAGGCCACTTGCCTTACCAACATGTGATGCAGCATGGTCAACTCCAGTAGACCTGATACCACCGGCTTGAAGAGTCATGTAGAGAAGAGTTGATGCAGTATCCTCTGCATATTTCTCTAACTCCTCAATAGTCTCTGGTAGGTCAGTAACTTCTCTATTTGCATCATTGATCCGAGCATCAACTACCCGTTTTAACCAAACCTTGCTAATTTTACTTTCAGATACAACTGAAGAGAGGGCCAGTGCTGTCGGGTGCTCAATCAACTTGTTAGCATAAATTTTGTCAATGGCTTCTTGCCACCAAACAAGTCGCATGAGACCAATCTTGGGATCAGAAGCAACATCCATGGCTCTGGCAGTTTCAACATTGAAGGCACGAAGTGCAAATGCAGCCTTTCGCATGTTAGCGGGGAGCTCAAGGAGGCAAAGGTAGTGATGATAATCATAGCTCCTCACTTGATGTACACAGTGGGAAAAAGCTGCCCTTAAGCTACTAGATACACCGTTCATCAAACCTTGATGTGTTTCCTTCTGCAATGCATTAGTATATTAATGATTAAACCTGAATGTGCTCCGAACATAATTTCTACAACTCCATTGTCAATTCATATTTTCAACAGATAAATCAAGCCAACGGCAAGCAGAGAAATGGGATTTTGATATATTCACTTTAGAAAGAGAGCGACCATTTTCTAAGCAAAACTTCACATCTCTCATACATTGAATCGTTTGACCTTTTATGTTCATACAATTGGCATTGAAAAAAAAACGGAGACAATAAGGACCTAAAGATCCAAACAAAAGCATTCGATGTGTAGAAGGGAACAAGATACAGTAAACAAATCCAAGTAAAAGACCTTTTACACTTTATAGTAATATTAAGTGACCGCTGTTCAATTGATAAACAAATCTACTACTACATTGGATTGCAGAGGCAAGAGCTTAAAAAGCATACGAAAACCATATACCAGCACTGATTACTGATTTGATGAACCGCAGTCAAATTAGGCGATTGTCGTTCAAGTGAAATGCACTTGTAACCGCAGTCAAATTAAAACACGAATAAAAGAAAAACACTATAATCAGACGATGGCTAGGTTCCAGGGTTCAGCGTCGACGCAAAAGGACGAGGAGAGCATAGGCCTCACAACGGTTTCAATGGTGAGTTATCAACGGTTTTTGGACGAGAAAGATAAGAGAGAAAAAGAAGGAACAGAAAGAAGAAAAGAAGAAGCCGGAAACTTACCAGATCTATAACGACAAATGCGGCGGCGGAAGACGGACGAGAATCGCACACGGCGGGGATTTCAGAGAATCCCCGAGCAGAAAGAAAAAGAAAATTTGGGGGGGGGGGGGAATAACAAACGACAGGAAAAAAAAAAGAATTTGGGATTTGGTTTTTGGGCAACTAGAACCTTTTTGACATTTGAACCGGTTTTCTACGTCCAAAAGCTTAGAAATGTAATGAATATTTTATGTTTTCATAGTTCCTTTTAATAGTATAAAAGAAATTTTTGATTATTTTTTTAATTGTGAAGTGAACAATAATTATTCAGAAAATTATACTAAAAAAAGTATACTCTATTTATATATGTAGAATAAAGCTATGTCTTATAAGATGGAGTGTTGATTGGAAAAGTGCTAGAACAAATTGGTATGCTATCCACTTATTACTGAAAAAAAAAATCTAGGATTATTATGATTTATGATGCCTTTTTTCATTGATGCTTATGTCGTATGTAGCTAACGGATTTAAAAGATAATGAGAAAGTAAAGCTGGCTTTCGAAACGTCTGAACAAATTAGCATTACATGCTGCATCTGAAGACAGAAATTTTCTATTGTCCAGTTATGAACGATTCTGACCAGTAGGCTTTTGATTTCATTTCGCTTGAGATGAATCTCAATGGACTCTACCAATTGCATTTCCTGCACATTATAACTTTTACATCTTCCAGAATATATCTTGTAATTTTTCTCCCAACCAAAAAAAAACATATATTTGAACTTCAGATGACATTATCTTTTGATACTTATTATGAGCATTGCTGCAAGTAAGAAATTGAGAAGGTACAAAGCTTCAGGCCACATATAAACTTTTATAATTCAGGGAAGATCACCCTGGACCGGTTACAAAAGGCACAGATTAATCATTCAAATCCCCGAGTTCCGACTTAATATGTTCACTGCCTAGTCTAAGAACAGTAACCCTCATTTTTTTAAGAAAAATTTAGTCACATTGAAAACAAAGTTTGAAACCACCATTCTTAATAAAACAATTTTCATTTTATTCTATCAGAAACATCCCAGTAATTCCGTTCTTCCAGTATCTATTTCAACTGCATCAGATATTGCACCTGAAAACCTTTTTAAAAAAAGAACAAAAAATGAAATCCGATATGATGTACTGATACAGAGAACATGTTCCTTAGGTAGGTCATCTGTTTAAATAGACAGACAATCAGCTCAGCTTTGCAGCCAAATTAGAAGACCCGGTGTGACTTCAATGCATAAACATCTACAAAGTGAGGCTTTCAGGGTTCTCAACAATCTTTGAGAAGGTCTGAAGGAAGGCAGCCAAATCAGCGCCATAGATAATACGGTGGTCAGCAGTTACATTCACCTGACACAAGAATCAAATTCTAACTCAGTTCAAGTTGTTACATACTTGCATAGAAATAGTTATCCATGATGAAAAGTTCAGCTATCTCCTGTCCAAAGAAATGACTCCTCTATATTAGCTGACAAGCATGAAAACCATGCCTTATTCGCCAATTATTGGAATGAACCTAGTGTATCAATTGAACTAGTTACTTTAGATTAATATTTCTCAAAACTTGATCAAAACATCTGAGCAGATACCTCAGACAACAATACAATTAGGGTGGCAAAGATTGCTTTAGCTCTGACAACTACCACTGTATCAGCTCTAACCTCTTACCACCACAATGCAACAAAGAATAATATTTAAAAGATAGGAGCACATTCAGATTTGGACAAAATATTTACTCCAAACATGATCAATAAATAAACTATTTAAATTTTGAACTGATGTCGTGAAAATCCAAAAACCTACAAATGCCCCTTGAAAAGATGATATTTAAAAGATTTAAGTTTGTCAAGAGAATGAAAGAATACAGATGATGAACAGAGACAACAAACAAAAACCTCAGTGTTGTTACCTGAGGATGTTATACTTGGCAAAGTGGCACGGTATCATCGAATATAGGCTATAACTAAACCTTACTTATCTGGGTTAAGTTTTATTTGTTGTTGTATCTCCAGCTACTCTAAAACTTCTTCTCCTTTGTAAAACAGACTCTTGGAACAATCTCAGCCATATTAGGGAGTTTACTTAGCCATTGATTCAGTCAACATAAAATGAACCAGCTTCTACCACTAGAAGCTAATCAAGGTAGGTTCCTCAATAGAATCAGCAACACATTGTCTATTTACTGAAGATTCGTATGAGATTCCTTACTTCACATGAGGACACTCACAGTGAACATGGATTGTTAGGGTTGTAAATAGGATTAGACACCCCAATAGTACCCATAACCGAGAATGCATCTTAGAAGCCAGAAGAAAAGAAGCAAAAGCAATTCCATCAATAGCAGAGAGCAAAATCGGAAGCTAAGTTGCAGAAAAGAGGACAAGGGAGAGCGATAAAAGTATTCTGCACCTAAAAGCGGGTTGCAAAAGATTGCAATATGCATTTGAAATTGAAGACCAGAGTGTACAAGAGTTTGTATATACACCATAGCAATGGTACAAATTTCTTCCTCTATCCAAGAAAAATGTATCAAGTGTAATTGACTCTCCTTGAATATCAACTTCAGAATGCAATGGATAATGTAAATGCTTATAGCCACTAGCTTATTTCAGTATTATTTTTCAGACAGGATAGTATTTTTACATTACTAGTAAATGGAATAGAGTACACATGCAGCCAGGGATGGAGCAACATACATGGTGGGAGGGGCGATGGCTCCCCCACCCCAACCATATTTTAAGTCCAATTGCCTTTTTAGTTCCTCTTAGTTTTGAAGGTAGATAAATTAAGCCTTGGCCCCTCCCAATGTTTTGGGTTTAATTGTTTTTAGGTCCCCTTAGTTCTGAAACTAGGCAAATTAAGCCCTGACACACCATTTTTTCAGTTTAAATACTTCTTAGATCCTATCAACTTCAAAATTAAGTGAACTAAACCCTAACTCACTAGTTTTTAAATTGATGGCTTAACAACTAGACTTTGACCCTCATTTTATTACAATTTATATTCCCCCCTTAAGTTTCATCTTAGCTCCGTCCATGCATACAGACAACGATTAAGGATGTAATGTGGACAGGGCATCTAGAGCTGGCCATTGTTTTTCACAAGGAATAAAGTGAACTTGAAAATATGGGCAAGGTTAAAACCAGTGAAAATAATATGAGAAGTAAATAGACCTGTCAAGGTAGTGAGGCAGCCATTTTTGGATGGAATCATTTCCTCCTAAAAGTAATTCCCTTCTAAATATAACTCGGAAAGAATAACATGTGATCCCCTCAACAGAATGATGGTTACTCAGCAAAATTAGTACTTGTACCTAAATTGTACTTTATTGAGATAGCCTCAGATCTCAGCATCATTTTACTGTTATATTTGCATGAAATAAAATCATAAATATAGTATGATTCCGGTTGCAACAGGATAACTTCAAAGCATTAACAATAAATGAGTGTATTGTTTCATGATAGACATATAATAGTTAATCCTATCTTGTATAAGTTCAAGAGAAAAAATTATCTAAAAGGGGTTGTAATTGGCTCCCTGATAGAAACTGGGCTCACCAGCATTTTCTTTTTGACGCTGAAGAAACCATCAGCATCAGCTACAACAGTTGGCTTTGATGCTCCAACAGCCATGATACCTCCCTGGTCATCATTCCAACAAATAATTAACAAATGTAGAGAAATATAATCAAACAGTGGGAATAGATGGTCCATCCATAACCACTCACCTGGCCTGGGGGAAGAATGGCATCAAACTTGTCCACTCCAAACATTCCCAGATTGGACAGAGTGAATGTCCCTGCAAGCAATTGATTTATTATTTACTATATATTCCATACACCAAAAATTGACCAACTACTCAAAGTGGAACCAGAATAAAATCATTAAGCAGTTCAAACCCGAGTTATATTCTTGAGGCTGAAGCTGCTTTGCCCGGGCTTTCTCCACCAGTTCTTTCCATTTTTGAGACAGTAGATACAAGTCCAACTATTCCAAAACAATTCCTCATTCATTCTCTTAGAAGCTATAAATGATAGAAAAACCATCTACAACTACAATGTACTATTGATAACAAATAACCCTTACATTTGATTCTACTGATCAAACATTAAAATAAAGGATCAATAACCTTATCTGCATCTTGAAGAACAGGGGTAATCAAGCCACCGTTGATAGCAACAGCTACTGCGATGTTGACGTTACTGTTATAAGTAAAACTCTTGCCATCCTTACAGCTTGAATTCACAACAGGGTGCTGCACAAGTGCCATTGCAGCTGCTTTCGCTAACAAAGCAGTCATTGTTACACCCTTTGGTTTCACCTATAACCAAAATAGTAACTGATGTATTAAAAACCAATTTTCCAATTCAAAATACAAATAATTTATCAAATCGAAGAATCCAACTCGTCGTACCTTCTCATACAAGGCATCAAGCGCGTCCGTAGTAACAGGGTATCCCACTCGAAATGTGGGCACTGAAAGACTCTCCACCATATTCTTCGAAACGGCAGCCTGCATTGTCGTAAATGGCACTGTTGTAGAGCCTGGAACTGGAGGAGGAAGGATAGGAGGGGCGGAAGAAACAACTGTAGCTTTTGTTGGTGCTGCAGGCCTGGCTTCCACAACCACTGCAGGTCCCTCATTTGTCTTCGAAGGAGAAATACCGGCAGCTGCCACAATGTCCTCTGGCGTAATCCTCCCATATGGACCGGTTCCCACCACAGACTCAATATCCACCTTGTGCTGCTTCGCTAACTTCTTCGCATATGGTGTCACAACAGTCTTCCTCCGCCCCTCCGCAACTGTTTGAGCCGCGTTAGCTGGCGTCGACTTCGGATGAGCTGGAGTTGAGGCAGCAGTTGGAGCTGGAGCAGATGGTGTTGAAGCACCTGGTTTTGAGGTAGCTTTGGCCTTAGCCTCGGCAATTTCATCTTCAGTCTCCGCGAGGATACCAATGGCAGCGCCAACAGGGGCAGTTTCGCCTTCCCCGACAACTATAGCAGCGAGAATGCCGTCGTAGAAGGTCTCGACATCCATGTCAGCCTTGTCGGATTCAACGACAACAACGCTCTCGCCTTTGGAGAGTACATCGCCTTCGGATTTAACCCAAGAGACGATCTTGCCCTCGGTCATGGTAGAACTGAGGGCAGGCATGAAGATCTCCCGGATCTTGGAGCGAACTGTCAGAATTCGTCTCTGGGTTGACTTGAAACGAACTGGGGAGAAAGAAACGGAGGGGAAAAGATGAGGAAGAGGAGAAGAAGAGAAGGAAGAGGAGAAAGAGAGGGTGGTGTTAGAGAGAAACGGAGAATCCATTTTCTTTGAGGGAGGGGGGATCGAGGTGAGGAATTGGGGACAGCAAAAGAAAGCAAATGATTTAAGGGGAGAATGAAGAATTGCAGGATGGAGGGAATATAAAAGAGGGATGGGGGAGGGAGCGGCGGAGAATACGAGGAACTGCTGCGCTACCAACTCTGTTTGCATCGCCCATTATTATTTTAGGGTAAACTACACGGGAGACCACTAAAATATGGTTAAAAATTAATGTGACCACCTAACTTTTAATTGAATCAATCAGATCACCCAACTATTTAATTGATTCAATCAAACCACCGATCGTTAATTTTTACCAGAAGTGGTGATGTGTCCCTCCTTAATATTTAGATATTATATCAATTTAGTTATTATTTTAATTCAAATAAATAAATTTAACTATTCAATTAGAACGTGACAAGTGTTAATACACGATTGGAAGGTTTTATTTATGAGTTTTAAATTATTTAATTAAATAAATTTTCTATCCAATCAGGTGGTGACACGTTAAAATAAAAATAAAGGGACAATTTTGTGCTTAAAGAGAATTGTACTTGTGTCAAGGAGAAAAACTACCCGACGCCCAAACCTTTAAGCCAAAGGTCCCCAATAATTTAAACTTGTAACAATTTATATTTGACTTGTAAAAGTTGGTTAATGATAAAAATTAAAAAAAATTGTTTAAACAAATTTTTATTTAAATTAATTATAAACAATTTTTTGAATTAAAAATGTTCAATTTTTATATAAATTAGAAAATTAAAAAAAAATCTTTAATTCAAAAATTGACCGAATTAACTGAAATTTGTTCGATTCAGTTAATAATTTTAAAATAAATTTCGGTTTGATTAATGGTTAAAGAAAAAAATTCGGTTAATTCGGTTCGATTAATAATTTTCAAATTAATTTGGTTCAGTTAATAATTTTCAAATAAATTTTAGATCTATTAACCGAACCGAATTAACCGAATTTTTGCTTCGATTAATTCGATTAATAATTTTTAAAAAAATTAGTTAATTTGGTTCGATTAATAATTTTTAAATTAATTCGGTTCGGTTAATAATTTTTAAATAAATTTTGGTTCGGTTAACCGAACCAAATTAACCGAATTTTTGTTTCAATTAATTCAGTTAATAATTTTCAAAAAAATCGGTTAATTCGGTTTGGTTAATAATTTTGAAATAAATTTTGGTTCGATTAACCGAACCAAATTAATCGAATTTTTGATTCAATTAATTCACTTGATAATTTAAAAAAAATAGGTTAATTCGGTTCGGTTAATAATTTTCAAATAAATTTTGGTTTGATTAACTGAACCGAATTAACTTAATTTTTTTCTTTAACTATTAATCGAACCAAAATTTATTTGAAAATTATTAGCCGTGAATAATTTATTTAATTTTTTAATATTTTATTTAAATAAATATTTAGTTTAATTTTTTAATCCTTAACAAACATTTAAAAGACAAATACAAATTGTTGTAACTTTAAATCATTGGAGACCTTTGGCTTAATGATTTGGGCGCCTGCTCTATCCATCCCCCAAGACTCTAATTTGATTCCCCTTGAGTACAAGATTATTCATTTATTTTCATTTCAATTGGTGGTGACACGTGTCACCACCTTATTAGATAGAAAAATTATTTAATTAAATAATTTAAAATTCAGAAATAAAATCTTCCAATCATATATTGACACATGTCACGTTCTAATTTGATAGTTAAATTTATTTAATTGAATTAAAATAGTGACTAAATTGATAGGATATGTAAATATTAATGACCAAATATATAATTATGCTAATTTTATTAACGGACACGACACCACCTATGTTAAAAATTAACGATCAGTGGTTTGATTGAATCAATTAAATAGTTAGGTGGTCTGATTGATACAATTGAAAGTTCGGTGGTCACATTGATTTTTGACCATAGTTTATTTGACCATAGTTTATTGGTCTCTCATATAGTTTACCCATTATTTTATTGGACGTTGTCATTTTCTTTTCACTCTTTCAGCTATCTAATTTTCTTTTGTTTTATGTTTTTGGAACATAAATTTTCCCTTATATTCATAATCCTAGTTTAATCAAGTTGACGAGTATTTTTTTTATTTGATACATATATCACGTAGAGTTGAAAGACTTAACTTGACACCCCTACTTCAATTAGACTTCTGATGGGTAGGACATCTCAACACTCTGTCAAAATGGAGACTTTAAACTCTTTCAATCGGTTTCGAGATGTAACCTCATATTTGGAAAAGAGCGTTGGGCGCATCAATGTTGTTCAGTCAGGTAGAGAATACTTCTCAGTCTACGACAGTACACTATGATAGGTGTAGAGACATCCCAACTCTTTCAATCAGTTTTAGGACGTAATCTCGTTTATTTAAAGATGGTGTGATGCATCTTAACACCGTTCTGTTGGGAAATAAACGAGTAATTTCCCTATAACCAGATTAGTGAGAATGCGAAATAAAAGCGGAAAAATAATACCCGAAATTGATAACGAAATTCAGCCAATTTGGCTACGTCTCTAGACTGCTGCAGATCTTTTACTAAAGAGAGAAAAATTACAGGTGTTTACAAAACACTCACAACTCACGAGAAAACTTTCTAAACTCTTTATTGTTGGAGAAAGAAATGATTTGGGATGATTTTGAAGCTAAATGGGTTAGGGTATTTATAGTTGAAGCTTAAGGACTAATATTGTAAATACCTTAAAGTCCAATTACTAATTGCAATTTTCCCCTTGCCATTTTTTCAACAAAAAATAACCAATTTTCAGTTGCACATGCACCAAACGATTTCCACCGAAATCACAAACCAAAATTGTTGAAAGTTTGGCCTACTTGTTTACTTTTCATGCTTGACTTTTCAACAATCTCCCACTTGAAGACTGATTTTAATCTGTCTTCACACCTCGATTAATGCAGCAGCATTTCTAGTCTTGTTAGTCTAGCATGCCAACTGAAGCTAAACACAACTTCAGTTTGTCCGTAGTCACCATCTTTGTTAACATGTCTGCCGGATTTTGAGCTCCATTAGTCTTTGAATGATTGTTCCTTACTTGAACATCCTCGACAAGCCCATGCTTCGACCCTTCTCTTAAGATGGTCTCTAAAACCATGTTCTCTACATGAATATGCTCGGCAAACTCCTTGGACAGGGACAACTCTTCTTGCAATTGGCTTTTACTCGCCTTGGCAGAAATGAACCTTATTGAGTAAACTCTCAACGCCTCTTCGATCCTGGGTTCACCCTCTTCTCTGGATAACTTGATATTGGGCTCATCCATCACCTTGGATGACTCGGCTCCCCTCGGGTAATTTTGTAACATTTCTGGCATCTTAAGTTTGTGCCCCCTCGTTTTCTCGACTCTTACCCTTGGCTTAGCATCTTTGACACTCGAACTTGTGCCAAGAGTGCACACATCTTCCCCAGACTCACCATCTGGTTCATCATTGAGTGGATTTTCTTTGCCACTCGAGGAACAACATTCATCATTCTCTGACTTGCCTTCATCACGTAATCTCTTGCCGCTACCCTCGGCTTTCGGCTTTGCTTTGGAAGTCTTGTTCTTCTTGAATCCAAATTCTTTGATGGACTCAGCGGTTGTCAAGGCTTTAGACAACTCCTTGACTTCCCTTCGCTCTAACACTCTCTTCGCCCGTGGCTTCAATCCAGACATGAAGGTGAAGAATCCATCTTCTTCAGTCAAACTTGGGACTTTGATCATGAGTTTTATGAATCGACTCACATACTCCTTAAGTGTCCCTTTATGCCTGAGACGCCTCAACTTGGACCACGCCTCCATCTTGGCATACTGTGCGCAGACCCGCTTAGATTGCACCCTCGGCTTGACGGCTTTATCATTTGCTATCGCATCGAGTCCCTTCTTGTGCTCGACTGCTTTGACACCCGCAGTCTCGTCACGTTTCGATCCTGGGTTAACTACTTGATAACTTATAGTCGTACCACTCTTGCTCTTTGATTCGCCTACTTTGGAACATATAGCCTCACCAAGTCTTTCCCTTGTCTTGATTCCTTGGATACTCACAATCTCGGGCTTTCTTCCGGGTTCGACTATGTTTGAATTCCTAGAATCAAGGAACAATATCTTTTTTCTTAATTATAGGAGTTTGCCTTATGTAACTAGTCAACTAATCTAATTCCCTGATCTTAGAAATTATTTCCTAACTTAGAGTAATTCTTCTTCATAAATTGTAATTTACGTTTAGAGCAATAAAGTAAGAATTTTATTTATTCTCACATTTGTTCATGGTATCAGAGCTGTAGGACTCATTCGATCCTATTATGTTCTTCCTTTAGAAATTGTTCTTTCGTTGTTTTCTTTCTATGGCAGAACAACCAGAAAATCTTTTTCAAATTTAAAACCTCAACCCTTGTATCATCCAACACTTCATCCTCTATAGAAAATACCTTCGATGTTTGCCTAACCAAATCTCAACTCGAAGCCCTACACAAGATACTTGAAACACCTACTGCTCATAGATCCTTGGCTATTCAAGGTACTGCTTTTAATATTACTTCAGATTCAACTAATTAATCTGCTTGGATCCTGGATTCAGGTGTCTCCGACCACATGGCATGTAACTCATCCCTGTTCCACAGCTATATCCCCTATCACAATCAATCTCGTATCCGAATAGTTAATGGTTCATACTCACCTGTTGTTGGGATTGGGGCAGTTTAACTCACTGAAAAACTCTCTCTTGACAAAGTCTTACATGTCCTAAGTTTATCCTGTAATTTAATATCAGTTAGTAAACTAATTGAGGATAATGATGCACTTGTTGAATTTTCTGCTCATGGTTGTGTTGTATAGGAACATAAATTGGGGAAGATGATTGGCACTACTAAGGTTGATGATAGACTCTACATATTGAATAAAGACAATAAGAAAAGAAGTTTGGAGTTATCTGCTTCACATGAGGACACAATTATACTGTGGCACCAAAGGCTAGGACACCCAAACTTCTTGTACATGAAGTATGTATTTCCACTGTTATTTCGAAATAAAAATCCAAATTCCCTAAAGTGTAAAATCTATCAACTCTCAAAACATACTCGTGTTTCTTATACATTAAAACCTTACATCCAATCCAAACCTTTCTCCTTAATACACAGTGATCTATGGGGGGCTAGCCAAGTAAA